TGTGTGTGGAGTTGTATGCGTGCAAATGTAGATGCGGTTTGTGTGCATGTTTGCATGCGTGCGCTCACTTTGTTCCATTGGCGGGACACACGCTCGGGCGTGCCACTGCGAGCTGTGTCGCCGATCCCCCCGCAAAGCCTACAGCTTAGGAGAACAAAGTCAGAACACACACACAACACAACAAAAAAAACAAACAAAAACAACAACGCCACGCCCACACCTAAAAACCAACTAATCAACACACAACATCACAACACGTCAGCCCAATCCGAGACGCTGAGGTCAGTCCCTCCGGGTCAAACGGCCCGCGATTGCTGTACAGCACTCTGCTGCCAGCCTGGGCCTCTGGTTGGGCACGTGGCCCTTTGGGGCGCTTGGGGCGTTCCCAAAGGACCCACATTCGGGCCGTACGTGCCATGCTCTGCACGGCCTCCCCAGATGCTCAAGCAGCAGCCCCTGGATGCCAACTTCGGCAAAGAGCCCGAAGGCTCGCCAGCGATGCCGGGCGGGTGGGGAGCGCACGGGGTGCAGCGCGGCGCCCCGGCGTCGGCTGTTTGCTTTCCCCAGACCTATCACTCAGTTGCAAAGTCGACCTGGTCTTTTGGTTGCTCCGGTTTCGTCCATTTTTAGTCATGGCCTCAGAAGATTAACCTTATATTTCCAGGTCCTTTGGGCAAGTGAGACTATGAGGCATGGTTGGAACCTGCAGCCTTGGGCCCGTTTTTTTTGTTCAGTTTCGATTTTCCCCTTCGTCTGACCTGGGGTCTGGCCAGCAGAGACCTAGATGTTTGGCAGCCTGACCAAGCCAAACCATATGCAATGCATGCTCGTCGAAGGGTGCAAGTCTAGAAAGGGAAGCCGGGTGTTTTTGACAGCAGTGACCGTGCGCAGGTTGGGCCCAGTTTTGTCCTGTTCCAGTTGCAGGGGATGGCTCCTTTTTGAGCCGACCTCAGCTTGACGGCAAAGGGACATATTGTTGTTTGCTCGCGCACTGGAGATTCAGCCGCAGCTGAACGTTCAGCTTCAGAGCCTCGCTGAGGCTTTGTATTCTCAGAGCTGCACAGGCCCCAGGATGCCTGTCTCAATTCCTTTCGCATAGCGTGCCAGGTGCCAAGGCAGCTTTTTCGTGCAGCTTACGGCTACCCGCCAGATGTTTTTTTTTTTTTTGGTGTCAGCATCCGAAGGCTGTCTCTTTTTGCACGGCCCCCCACGTTCCACGTGACCTCAGCACGGCATGTGGCCGATGGCACGGCCTCACCTCGAGGCCCGGTTTTGTCTTCGTGCCTCTGGCGCCACCGCGGAGACTGCGGCGTGGAGCGAGGCCGGACGGAGCCGGAGGAGGTCGAGACCGTGGGACCGGTGAACCAAAAGAACCTGGTGTCCTTTTTGTGATGGTACCCTTATTTGGGGTGGGTTTCAAACGAAATCACGGGGTGCCCCCTAGCCATTTTTTTCTTGGGGGTACCGGGTACCCTAAAAAAAGACGTACCAAGCTTGAAAGAGTCACGGGACTGGGAGTTGCAGTCTTTGCCTAGGTGCAATGTCGCCGCTACGCCTTGTGGCCTGGAGGGTCACCTGCGTTGGGGGAGAGGGGCGCTCTGACTGGCTTGGTCGATAGGCAGGACCCCCTACAAACAATCCCCGATGGTTTCCCAGGAACGCCCCAAAACCGCAAAACCGGTGCATTCCCCAAGCACCGGCTCATTCCCTGAACCCGGAAGAAGGTCATTCCAGACTTGGCCATTGGGCCATTCCCTATCGCACCAGCAAGCCATGCTCAGGCCCTCATGGCAGTGGACAGCGCTCTGGAATCCGAGTCCGGCGCAGGGCAGCCAAGAGACAGGGCCTCCCTCCATTCCATACATTTGCCTGTGTTTCAAAAGGCAAAACAAAAACACTACGGGTCTTTGTTGGATGGTTTTAAGTGGGCAATCGCCGCGGATTTACATCCTCCAGTCCCTGATTGATGTACCGCCCCTTCCCAGAGGACCTGCTCTGATGCCGGCGTGCATGCACCAGCCAAGTTGTTGAAGTCACAAGGTGAGGCATGGAATCTGTGCCATATTGTGCCATGTTTTTTTTTCCACTGGAACTGCCACCTTTAAACCCAAAAAGGACGCCATCCATTTGTAGGGGTCCGAGTCCTATGAGACCCCCTCCTTGTCTCACTTCGGCCAGGTGGATGCCGGGCAGCTGGCGCTGGCCCGAGTGGCAGGGGCGATGCTTGCACGCCCGGGCCTTGGACGTGCTCCGATTCCGGGCTTGGGCCGGATCCCGCGAAATGGGCAGCTCGGGTTTGACTTGTTGGACTTGTGGGTCAAAATCCGAATCGGTTATCCCCCAGTGAACATCCGATTCAATCCAACCACTAAGATAGGTTCTAAAATGGGTGGTGGATTCACCTACCCCAAAATGGTACCATTGGTGTTGACCCACGGCCATTTGTTTGGGGCAGGTCAAGCCGTGTGGCCAGTGGGCTCTCACTTCTGGCCCCGCGGGCGCGACTCGGCTTTGAAACTTGGCCCGGCTCAGGCGCCGCCGCCGAGCATGCGCGGGGGCCTAGCCGCGTGGCGCCGAAGCCCAATCGCTTTGAGCAGCTGGGTATGGGTCAAAATTCAACCACCAGGGGACCGCAGGCTTTAGTCATTGTTTCCATTTTCCAGGGTGCCATTTGGGGTACCTATTTTTGACCCACACCCATGTCGTCCTTTTGCATGAGTCGAGCGCTTCTTGCGCTTGCTGTATGGGCGCTGCAGCCGTGAGCGGCTTTGAAGAGGTATGCCTGTGAGTTGCCCAAGCGTGGAGACTGGTAGCTGAGAAGGATATCTGTGCAGGCCTCGTTTGATTAGCGTGGCTCCCGAAAGGTGTGCAGCCGGAAGGAAGAGAGTTGGCCGTTGCACCCGAGCCTTTCACTACTACGGCCAGTGAATTTCGCCGCCCTGTGAGTTTTCCGTGGGCAACATCAACCACCCTTTTCGGGGTAGCTTCCTCATTCTTTTTCCAGAGATCGAACCTCGAAGCGGCTGTTTTTTTGATGCGAAGGGAAAGGGAGCAACCTCCGGATCACTCTCCAAATGATTTCAAGGCTTCATGGTGCCGTGTGTTCTCCGCATGCCGCCCATGTCTGAGCCTGCCAGTGCTGGCGCCATGGTCGCATGAAGCGTGGCCGGGATGACACCCCCCCGCAGAGGCGCGGGAGACACAGCTAGGCTCAGCTAGGTTTGGAACATTTGGCTAGGGGTCAAAATTAATAGGATATGGACCGCAGGTTTTAGTCCATGTTTCCATTTACCAGCGTTTCATTTTGGGTACATATTTTTGACCCCCAGCTTCGATGGAACATTTGGCGGTTTCTCAAAATGGTGAGGCAACCCCCTTTTGGTTGGCATTCAAAAGGACGCCGAAGGGAGGCACAATTTCAAGTTCAATTTTTGTAGTGCTTGGGCAGAAAACAGGTGCGTGCATAGGCTTCCTGCCAGCGCCTAGATTTCAACCGTTTTGAGTGTGCCCACGGCTTCAACCCAACCAAGCAACTGCCCAGCACACTTAAGATTAGAGCTTGCCGAGCTCGGGCGGCGGAAGTCACGCCCGGACCGGGTCCCTTTGGCGCTTGGCCCCGGTTTCGACCGCGAGGGGCGGTTTGGACGGCGCGCCCATGGCCACGCCCTCGGTGCTGGGCTTCGCGCGCTGGGGCCTGCAGCGGAGGCCGCAGGTCCTGGCGGCGATGAAGGCGTTGGGCAGAGCGAAGCGCGCGGCGCTCAGCGAGGCGTCGGATGGCTTGTGGGCCTTGGTGGCCACCTTGGGGTCGATTGTCCAAACTTGTCGCCTTGGCCATGCCATGCGCTCAAGCCGTGCCGGTGGGCGTATTTCATGAAGATGGCTCTGAGGCCGGGTGCGGTCAAGCCATGTGGGTGGGCGTATGAAGATGGCTCTGAGGCCGGGTGCGGCTGTTCTCCATGTACACGGGCTGGGGCACTGCTGAGATGGCCGCGGATGCGCTGAGGAGCGCGCTGCGGGAGCTGGGGGAGGACCTGGAGATAGCCCTTCGGTGATGGGTTGCAGGGGTTGGAGGTTGGGTGGGACGCAGTGGGGAAGGCCCTGGGTTGGAAGGGTTGTTGGGACCCTTCAGTCTGGGAGTGGCCATGGTCCGACGGAGGTTGGAGGGGGTTGCTTGGTGGGACGTTGCTGCGGCGAAGGTTCTTGGGTTGAGTGGCCAGATACGACCCGATATCGAGCCAAGGAGCTGGTGTGGATCTGCGAATCCAACGTGGACAAGTGCCGCTACCTCGCCAATGCCTTCAGGCCGCTTAGCATGTGCAATTCCGGTAGTGGGGATTTGGGCTTTCCGATTCCGCGGTGGTTTCCCTCTTTTTTTTTTGGGGGGGGGGGCGGCTCCCTGACACATATTAAGCTCCAAAAACACCAGCCATCGTGGGGCTGGATGGGGCTGGGCGTGCCGACTGACAGGAACGTCCAGTACATCTTCACGGATGCCTCGGAGGCGAAGCCTTGCTTTCCTAGGGGCGGTCCTCTCAATTTCTCCAACCTGGCCCAGTTGATGTGATCTAGTCTCATTTTCCCGGCGGATGTTGCTGTCCACGGCCCTAAGGCCATCATGTCGCAACCTTCCCGAGGCACCGCTGGATTGGATGCCTGCCTGCGGATTGCATGGGCGTGAGTCCAGTGATGGTTTTTTTTTAGGTTGCGCGGAACAGCTCCGGTTTTCCCGCAGCAGCGGAAGGTTGCATTTTAGGTTGCCCGTTGCAAACATGTTTGTTAGGAGAAGAAGCAGTGAGCTTCAGCTTTCCCATTTAGGTGTGTCCGATTTCCAGGGGATTTCTTTCCCAAACTCGTGTTTTTCCCTTTGGTTTCCCTCTGAAGCGAAAAACAAGTTGAGTTTTTCATTTTGGTATCCTTTTTACCCCCCCCCTTTTGGGGGTTTACTCTGTAGAAAACAAGGACCCCTTTAACGACACCAGGTGGCCACAGGTTTCGCCCGGGAGTATCGCAGCGGCTGCAAGCTGCTGGTGCCTTTCGACCTGGACGGGGGCTTCGTGGGGTACCCCTGCGTGGACCTCTCGTCGCTGAACAACGGGCCGGGGCAGTTCACCGACACCGCCACGGCCGGGGCTGTTCGGTGGAGGGTTTTGGAGGGGGAGTTGGGAGGGGTTCCGAGGCATGTTCGAATTTTCAGGGAACCTCCAGAAGTGGCAGTGTCAATAGAAGCCACCAGTCCATTGAACAAACTTTTGGACGCGAAATTCAGTGACCGGGAGAGGGGGAGGCGAGGTGTAAAACACGCGCTACACAACAGCGCGGGGCGGGCTCTGGGCTTGGTCGTTGGCATTTTTGTCGGATGAGTCCGATGAGGAGTTGAGGGTGTTTGCATGAGGGCCTGTGTTTCTTAACAATTTCAAGGTACAGGCTGAAATGAACCACTCTTGTCTGAACCACCTCATTCTCGTTTCTATGCAAACATGGGCAAGGGGCTGGTTTGTACTGGAGGCTTGTGTGAGAAAGTGTGCGATGGAGGCCACCGGCAGGGGCTATGCAAACATGCTGAGCGTGGTGGATCGCTGCAGCGGCCTCGCGTTTCTGGGCGTGGAGAACAGCGCGAACATGTGGCGCAAGCGGAAGCAGGACGGCAACTGTGGAGAGTGCGATCAATGAATCAATGCGCGTCTTTCTCGTAGGTACTTGGAAAGGCCGCCCCTCTCTTTGTCCTTCTCCGTGAACTACCAAGCAAAAGGGGGTCAACTGCTGGATCTATTCCCTTGTGGGACTTGGGGGAACTGACAATTGCTCCAAATCAGAAGCTGTTGGCAGTTGAGTGGAAAGCAAACCAACCTGACTTGTGCCTTGGGGACCTGCAATTAAAAGGTCAACCTTTTCGGGCCGTGACTCAGTCGAAAGGGCTTTGGGTGCAACTAGTCCCAAGAGTTCTTTCGAACGCAAAAGAGAAACCGCCCGCTCAGGGCATTTTCGCCCAGTCGCGCCTCGAGTGGCGAGGACGAATGGAGGCGCCCCATCGACCTCCAGGACGAAGCCTTCCGCGGCCGCGGCTTCGTGGCCTCCTCCCACTGCGTCTCTGCCCACGAGCCGCGCGCTTGGGTCGGGGGGGGGGGGGGGGCCGGAGGGGCTGGGAGTGCAGGGGGATTCGGGGGGGGGCTTAGAAAGGGAGGTGAAGTCCTGAAAATGTCTGCGTGGGTGTTTTTGAGGGCACCCACTTTTGCTTCTTCTTTTTTTTGGGGGGGAGAAGGCCTTGGACATATGGGGTCTCCCCCCCTTTCAAGGGGATAAGAGGGAATGCCACAGGTGGTCATGCCCAGAACTCTTCGGAGCACGCAGTTTTTCAGGAGCCCGCTTTGATTTGTTGCCGGAGCTCGGCCCGATTAAGTCGGCCTCCAAGTTTTGAGCTGTAGGTTCGGGCCGCCGCAGAGCCGGCGCCGGTCCTGGAGCTTGCACCTTGGCCATTTGGCTCAGGACATGGCACCCAAAATGGCCCCTTGGTAAATGGAAACAGGGACCGAAACCTGCGTAACTCTGACACTTGAATTTGGAGACACTGCCGTTTGGTTGGATCTTCAGCCCCTAACTAATGTTGACCCCATACGAAAACCAACCCCAGCTTGTAAAAACAGGGGGTGGGGGGTGGAGGCCCCTCCAAAAGTGGTCTGATTCCAAAAGTGGCCTGATTCTCTCCACTAAATCCGGGACATGCCCCTTATCCCCCTTATTAGTAAATTGGGGTTGAGCAATATGGGGTCAACATTACTTCTACAGTCCTGAACAATATCTTTCTCACTTGCCCAAAGCGAATCGACCTGAAGTGCCCTTGTTGGCTTTCCATTTTGAGTCGTGGCCCCAAAAGGTGATCGCCTTTTATTTGCAGGTCCCTAAGGGGCAAGTGAGCTTTGGCCCTTCACATCTTGAATCTGAGATGTCTAGGGGTGGCCAGATGGCACTTTTGTTTGATTCCGCATGGGTCTATTGTTGAGAATCTTTTGAATCCTTCACACGCAAGGCAGTTAGATGGATTCCCCTGTAAATACCAACAGAGAATTGAAGGTATGGAAGGGCTGCCTCATTCACATTTGATTCACATCTTCATTTTTTTTCCCTTGGCTCCTTGCGGTGTTTCCTTCCCACTTTTTGCGCTTCGCCGCGGGCAGCTCGAGGTACCTCCGGCGCGGCGCGCCGGATTCGGAGCTGCAGGCGGAGGTGGCCCTCTCGGACCTCTTCCTCTCCTTCCGCCGCTGGCTGGGGAAGCCGGATGCGATCGATTTCTGTCTCGGGTTGTCCTCGCGCGTTTCTTTCCTGGGCCGGCCGCTCCTTTTCTGGGGCCGCCTCGGCTTTGAGAACAACTCGCACGCCGAGGCTGCAGCCTCATGTGCCTGGACCGGATCCTGGAGCAGCCGGCGAAGCCGGCAGCGAAGCCGCTGGGCCGACATGTTGGTTGCGAGATGGCTTCGATCATCATCGATCACAACTTTCTTAGAATCGCATCCTTTTTCCTTTCTCTTTCTTTCTTTTTCTCGTCTTCTCTTTCTCTCCTTCTCTCTTGCTCCTTCTGTCTTTGTTTGTTTCTTCTTTCTCTTTCTATCTTGGTCTCTTTCTTCTTTCTTTCCTTGTTCCACCCTCTCGCTCTGGGCTAAAGTGTTAACCGTAGGTGGTCGCTTGTCTTGACTCTTTGTAAGTATCCACTTGGGCCACCATTTTGGCTCAAGTGGACACTTCCCTTTTGTCTTGGAATCTGAAATTTCTCATTCCCCTCCTACCAAAGCCATGTACACCCCCGCCTATGCTGGTGCCGCGGTTGCAGAGGCTAAGGCGAAGGCGAAGGCATCCATGGCGAAGTACCTGGCAAGCCTTGTGAAAAAGGAGGAAGAAGGTTGGACCGTCCTGGCGGCTGAGGTCCCTCAGGCACCGGACGAACGGTTCTTCTCCAGCGCCGACGAGCTGGAGCAAGCCCCACTCATCCCAGCCAAGCGTAAGGCCGAGGACGAGCTGATGGCGGACTCCCCCCCTGGGGTGGCGCAGGTGCCGAAGGCCCTGACACGCCCCCCAGGGGCGTTCCTGGAGCTTCTCGACCCTCCAGAGCCGGATGTTCCCATGGAGGAACTCCTGGCGGAAGACGAGGAGGAGCCCCCGATGGAGGAACCCCTGGCGGAAGATGAGGTGGACCCCCCGATGTCCGACACCAAGTGGCAGGGACGCCAGGACCTTATGGAAAAGGCCAGGGCGCAGGTGTCCTCGGAGGGGGATGAGGACCCCGCAGCCCCCCCGCCAGGGGGAAGCGTCTTCACCAAGGCCCTCAAAGTCTCTGAGGGCCTTTACCAATTCAGTGCGGACCAGATGGCGGGCGACTTCCCGTGTTTTGATGGGACCACGGCCGCCAGGCTCCGACGACTGCAGGCCAAGGATGTCCAGCGGCTCTTGAGAGGCTTTGAGGGCCCCCAACTCAAGCAGGGGGGCCTGGAGCGCGTGGTGGAGGCGTTCTACATCGCCAAGATGAAGTATGAGCATGAGGCCCTGCTCAGCACCCCGGGACAGAAGGTTGGCAAGCGCGCTGGCCTGGGGTATGGGGGCCTGGAGAACCGCCCCCTGGGTAAGGAGCCCACATCCTGGATCTGCCCCTGCTGCACCATGCCCTGGGTGAAGAAGGGCGCCAGGAAGTGTATGGGGTGCGGCAAAAAGACGGAGCCCATCGACACGGCGTCCAACTTGGCCACCCTGGAAATGGCGGGCACGCACTGGCAGCTGACAGTGGATGACCAGGGCAATGCGGTCTGGACGGCGGCCCGGTCCGCAGGTGCCGATGGCCCTGACACGGACCGGGCCCGCGACCTCAAGCTCAGCGCCTCGGTGGATGTCAGCGAGCTGGCCACCGACCCAATGGCATGCGAGAACCTGGACCAGGCCAGCTTCTCGGATTTTGTCCCCTCCTCGGTCCGGGCGGTGATCAGGAACTGCCCCATGGAGCTGGACGAGGATTTCCTGACGGCCCCAATGGGGGAAAGGCCCCCGTTGCCGGGCGACAAGGAAGAGGGCCAGGAGTGCAGGGCCTTCCACCCGTCGGCAGTGAAGGCCTTCAAAATCCAGACCCGGCTCAACGCCACCACCATCGCCCAGGAAGAGGCAAAGAAGGCAGACCAGGTGGCAGCGGTGGAGCGATCTGCGGCGGTCCTCCACGAGCTCCAAGGAGGGGCCATCGATGGAGGAGGCGATGGGGGACAACTCCTCAAGAATTTGGACTTGGACCTTTTCCGCGAGAAACTGCTGGATAAGCTGGGCGCGGACTGGGGGAGGCCCACACCGGAGCTCCTCCAGGCCCAGACCACTGCGGAAGAGGCGAAGGCAAAGCACCAGGCCAGACAAGCGAAGGGCGCCCTCGAGACCAGAATGCTCGAGCCCATCAAGCCTCCATTCAGTGCGTGGCCTAGCGAGGTCCGAGTTGCCATTGAGACAGGGGTCTTTGAGCCGACCACGGCATGGAGGGATTTCAGCATGGACGACCTCACGTCCCTCACGGACTCCTACCTCGAAGCCAAGGCGGTCATCTCGCTGGGTAGGAACCCCTTTCCGGGGGCCCTCCTGGCAGATCTGCCGGATCTGGCGGGGATCCCCATTCCAAAGGCGGGGGGCTCTGGTGCGGCGCGCCCAGGTGCCGAGGGCCCTGACAGGCAGCCCACCATCCCCCCAGCTTCGGGCTCTGGTGCGACGAGCTCAGGTGCCGAGGGCCCTGACAAGCCGTCCGCCACCCCGGGGGGCCTGGACACCCAGGACCCGGAGGTGCAGCTCGCGGTCCTGCGCTGGATGATGAGCAAGCGTGTCGGAGAGGTCCGCATCTTTGCGGGCCGCTGGGTCCGACGACCGGGGCCCGTACACGTCCCGGACTGGGCCAACAACCTCACCAAGGTGAATCCGGAGGCGCTGGAAAAGGGTACGCATCCCAGGAACCACCAGGCGGGTGGACTCCCATGGGCCAGGTACTCCGTTGAGGAGCTGAACCAGCAGGCCAAGGCGGGGGACCGACCATACCCCGAGGACCTGCGATCCATCTTCTGGGCGGCCCCCCACGATCCGGAGGAGGACTTCCACTGGACGCGCCAGATCTCGTCCTGGACACTCCCAGGCTTGCTGGGGATGTTTGGTCACAGCTTCACTCTGCGCCAGCTCTGGGGAGTCTGGGAGTCCTGCCATTGCTTCAGGGCCCTAGGCAGCGGGGCCCGAAGAACAAGGCCCAGAATCAGATCCGCCTGGAAGGCTGGGAGACCCTGAAGGAAGATGCTCGGTGCTTCCTGAAGGAGGAGGGCCTTCCGCTTCCGCAGACAGGACCGGAGTGGCGCCTGGTCTACCGGGCCATGGGCAAGGTCCTTGCGGCCCGGGCCTTCCTCACGGACACCCCGGCGGAGGTAATGCAGCTCCCGGTCCAGGACGTGGCGGACTCCAAGGAACAGATGATCCTCCGGGCGGTATGTGATGAGCGCATATCTGTCCCGGTGGAGAGTCTCCAGCAGTTCCCAGAGGTGTACCAGGCCCTCATGGACCGCATTGGAGGCCCGGGGGCCCTGGCGGAGGTGAAAGTCAACTGGCGCTGCAACACGAAGCAGTGGTGGGTCGGCGCAGTCCCCGACTCAGTGGCCCCCTCCATCTACCGCAAGCTTGGCTACACCAACGACATGATCAAGCTGATGGGCCTGGACCCCTCCGCCCCCGGGTGCCGGACAGGTGCCGATGGCCCTGACATCCGCCCCAGGGGAGGAGAGGGCGATGAGGGGATCGTCTACCCCCCCATCACATCGGACAACGTCCACGGCGTGGTGGGCAAGGAGTACAAGAAGAAGAACTTCTCGGCAGAGACGAAGCACGTCTTCTGGGCGCACATGGAGTGCGGCCTGGTTCTGAGCTCAGTCACCCCATGGGAGCTCATCCCCAAGACGAAGGGGGAGACCCGGGGGGGCTATATGTGCAAGTACTGCAAGGGGTACTGGCGCGCCGGGGGAGGGGGCACTCGCCTCCTCCAGATCCGGGCCGGCAAGGCCATCCTTCAGCTGGTGCTGGACGAGCCGCCCGATGGACTGTACAACCGCTGGGTCAAGGAACGGCTGGAGTTCTACCGCCGGGTAGAGCCGTCTGCCCCGCTGCGGGATGTCTCCGTGGTGGACCAGAAAGTCCCACGATTTAGGTTCAGCCACGTCACCCAGACCGGCCATGTCTCAGATGCCATCTGGGAGCTGATTCTCCGGAACCCGGAGGCGGCGGCGCTCAAGCGCATTGACGACATTGCCAAGGGGGCCGTGTGATCATGCAACACTGCGGCCATCCGGAACGGAATTGCAGGGCACCCCGGGGGAGGACAGCTGCCGATGGCGCTGATATCCCCCCCGGGCACAGCACAGGCCTTGGCCTGCACCAGGCGAGAAAAAGGGGCGCGCTTGGGCTGGTCCGGAGTGCGCCTGAGCTCCCCCCCCCCCCCTCGTTTGGTTTTCCCTTTCCGTGGAGGCTCCCCTGGGTCCCCCCCCCCCCGTTTTCGGGTTTGGCTTTCCGGGGTTTTTGGGGCCGCCCGGGTTTCACTTTCCGGAGTGGATGTGGGCCTCCAACGTCCGGCTTCGCGAAAAGACCCCGGACCCGTCCAAGAAGCGATCTGCCGCATGCATTGAGTGAAAGAGAGACCCGGAAGAGGACTTGGGGCCCCCCGGGGCCTTTTCCCGGGTCTCTCTTTTGAAGTGCGTGCAAGGCGCCTTGAGATTTGGCTCCGGGCTCGAGTGGATCATGATGATGTGGAGGCCCCGCCTCCCTTCCCCGTTTGGAACGACCTTCCTAGGGGTCCCAACCGCGGTCCAGTTGATTTTGCATGACCTTGGATTTGCACCAGTGCAGTCGGACGGGGAAATCCTCGTGGCGTGCTGCCTGGAATGGGTCAAAAAGGACCAGGTTGCCAACCCGGATGCGGTGGTCTTCGACCCGCGACCGTGGACACGAATCGTGGGGATGGCACCCGACGATGACCACGTCCTGGTGGCCTCGGACACCTACAACTTGATCCTCGCAAGGATACTCGGCTCCCAACCACAACCGCTGGAGGAGGCGGATTTGGAGCTCGGTACCAAGACCCTGCAGCAACTTCTGTTTCGTGCGGCAGGCGCTAGACAATCGTACACCTATTCTCCACTGGAAATGGAACAGGCCATCCGGGACCGTGAGGAGTGGATCCTCTCCGGATCGATTGAGGCCCCGGATGTCCTGGCAGTGGCCAACAAGTGGCGGCATTGGAAACCAGGGAAGATCAAAACCCAACTGCCGACATCCCAACGAGCGTTGGAACAGCACTTGAGGGCCAGGTGGCTGGAACGCCTCCTGGGCTACTTCATTCCCTTCCGCCACCAGATCCCCTACATGCACCAGGTGATGGGGGCCAAGGAGCTGGAGGAG